GCCCCTCTATTTGTCTAACCACTGCAATCATAGTGACCAGAGCAATCAACTAACGAATACAATTGAACGAGAGGGATATCATTAAGGGAAAAAATATGAACTTGATTTGTATTAACAAATAAATGCGTAGGTGGACCATCTGGAAGGGGTGGAAACTTCTCGTCTGTTCAAAGCTTTAAATTGTTAATCTAATTGTGTGAGATATTGCCTAATTTGAGTGTGTGTTATTCTGATTTTCTCCGAGGACTAGTGTCAAAAGAATCAAGTTGATCTGAATTTTGCTTTAAGAAAAATTCTCTCCTTTAATTCTTGATATGAGAAAATTTCTTTCGCTCAATTACCTTTCATAAATTCTGACTATTTGCCAATACCAGTTTATTCAGTCAATCAATAGTTCAAAGATAGTTTCAGTATATACTAAATGATCATCATCCCCAAGTAGTTAATTTGTCATTGTAAAAAGTTCTACATTAGTATATTTCTTATAGATCATATATGATTTTAAGCTGTAATCAGTTAATTTTTTTTACACTCAAAGACATACCCCCACTTTATAGTGCTGGACCCTGTGCATCAATAAATCAAAGCTAAAAAGCGTAAAACAACTTAGTAACTAGGTCCAGTTTTAGTGTACCAAACCAGAGTTTGAACCCCCACTCAATATTCAGAATTTGGATTCTTTGGAAACTAACCCATCTTCCCATTTCTTAAACACAACTTTAGCATACAGATTGCCAAAATTAATGGGGATCTCTTATCTAATTATCTATTTATTATTTAAATAGCAGTATTTAATCGCTTACAGAATTGTACAACTTTGTATTTATATTCCCTGCATCGTTTTATTGTACAATATGCATAAATCATTTTTATTCTAATAAGTATCTTTTAAATCTTGAATTTTCCAACACAAATAATATACGATATATTCTATCACTTTTCAACTCAGATACTAGGTGGACAGTATATCTATCACTAGATGTAGAAATATGCATATTTTATTGTTTTGCTAATCTGTCTAACCTTAAAATAATATTGAATAGTTGTTAAATATATGTACATCTTATTTTTCATTAAAAACCAGAAGGCACTGAAGGATCATTTTATCCCAGTATGTGACTTTAACAATGTTTATCTACAAAACCACATGAAAATCAAGTGTAAGGCCTTCAAGTCTCACTTTGTGGATGATACTTTTGTGTCATTGATATACAGTGAAACGGCAAATAAAAATTGACATTGGACAAGGAATTTAATTTATACTTAGTTGAAAAGAGTTTAAGGTGTAGAACATTGGGTTACGATTTTGCGGTTCGAAGGTCTCGTGTAAGCCACAAATTTCCTGTTTGTTTTCGTTTGAGTTGTAGGTGGGAACCTCTGATGAATCTCATGTTAAAGCTAGAAACTCGTTTAGTGGTCTTTGCTTTTCTGCACTCTTCTGTCTAAAGCGAGTTCTTGATGCATAACACATTCAAATTATACGAAATCACCCGGTTAACCAGTTTTAAATTATTTGTTTAATTTATGTCTCTTAACTCCAATTCTGATTTTCTAAAAATTATTTATACAAATTGACTCAGTTTATTTATATTTATGCGTAACTGTGCGTCAGTGTGAAGTTACTTGTTTTCGTTTTAAGATATTATATGTCATTCATTATTTCTGTTTTTATGCATTGTGCTTACACCTATTGTCGTGAGATTATCCTATAACTGTACCTAATCAATATATATAATTTGTTGGTTCTGTTATCCTAGTTTTAAACTTCAAGGATTAAGCGAGATGGTGAAAAGTAAAAATCATAACGTTATTCGAAATTCAGTTTGAATATTTTACTGAAAATATTCATCTTCCGGCTTTCATTATCTTTCAGGCCTATATCATGGACACCAGACTCCATGGGTTCGTATCAAATTTCATTTTGACCGTTGTTTTTCTCACACATCTATTCCACTCAAGCTAAGATAAGAAGCAAACTGGTTATCTACATACACGTAGTTCAGTTGACTTGCTACGTCCTTTAATAGGAAAATGATTTTATAGGATTTTATCATATCTACTCTAATCGTGAAAGAACGTTTTTCGCTTAACCTTAGCTTTCATTGAGAAGCTATAACCACTTTACAAATGACTATAATCAGTGGTATCATACCACCATTTACTAATACTTGATAAATAAATGGTTAACATTATTGTTAGCTCTTTTTTTCACTATCACATTCCTTATATATGGTAGTAGGTTTGTGTGGATGAACAAGATGCTAGTTTTATCATTCCATTTTGAACGTGAAATGGAGACTTCTATTATGATTCCACCATTTCAAGTTTTTCTTATTTATTTATCGTATATAATTCAGTCTTTCTCATTACAATAAACGATATATTCGAAGTAATTAAGCTCTCCTTCCCTTCATTTGTAAAGTAATCAATGGGCCATATATTGGGATATCTTTGGCAAACATTTTTCCACAACCATATAAATATTCTATGAATGACTCAAATGGAAATATTCGTAATTACTGTTAAGTTTTGATGAATTACTTAGTTATCTAAATAATGTACTAAATATTAAATCAATTAACTGGTTTACACAAGTCATATCACATAATATTTGAAGCGAAGTTTCATGAGCTTTGGTGGGTTGGTAGCTAGGCACAAATATGAGTAGCTTTCATGGCTTTTATCAAAGCGAATGTCCGGAGTTTTAACCTGGTTAATGGATGTGGATGATCCACCTATGGAAGTTGGAAAATTCTGATTCCAAACCCAATGGTGCACATGGGCTCCAGCATCTTGAGTGAACAAATGGTGTATGAACCCACTGTTGGTCATTGGCTACCATAGGACTGCATCTCCTAACGTTGCTCCACTGTCTAGTGGATTAGACCTTTAGGTCAAAGGTTCGGGGAGTAGCTCTTTAAGAAGACCACCTGTTTTGGTTTGGGCGTTTGGGTAGTATCCTAGCCCTCACACAAATCGAATGGTGTGTGCCCCCATGTTTAACCAAATAAATAAAACAGGCGAGGAGGCCCTTTGACCTCTTTGGAATTCAAGAGTCGATTATATTGCTCACTGGTCCAATCTTTTGATTTTGATTGTTTGTGTGCTCATCTTTGAGGCACACTGTATTGCTTCACGGCTCTGAAACAAACCCAAAAAGTAGGAAACACTTTTTTTTTATCTTACATGTATTCCAAATATTGGTCTCAGATACTTGAACCTCCGAGTGAGCAGTGTTGAGGCCATGAGTAAATTACTAGGTAAAAACGGCAAGTCGATTAATGAGACTACAAGCCTTTACTTACTGATTTGATTGGAATGTTTGTTACACATGTTTAAGTACCTTCCACTCCAACGTTCAGTTCTGACTTGGAAGGAGCCACGGGGAAAAGTTTATGACAGCACTGATTCCTGAATTTGTCGACTGCTGGACTGTATCATATTGGTATATGTGGACTTTCAGATGGGCGTCTGTGCAACAAAATTAGTCTATGGTTAAAGACCTTGGGTGATATGGTTCAGAACCACTCAAAGTGATGTAGTTTTATTTATTTCCTCTTCTTCCGTTAAATTTTGAAACAATCGTCATTCCTAATTTCTCATTACTTTATCTTCATAAATTTTGGACTGTATTTATCTTGTGAAGATTTCGTTGTAGTTTTTATTGTTATTCCCTCTCTCTTGTTAATTTTCTCTCATTTTTTTGATATGAAGTGCAACAAGTTAGACCCATATATATTCACGGTAAGTTTTGCCCTAAACATGGTTGACTTACTGGGTGATTCATCTTTCTGAGCACTCAACTACTAATGAGGTTGACTTGAAGGGTGAAATACAACAGTCCACTTTCGTGTTATTTTTTTTATGGCGAAGTCTGGTGGTTGATAGAAGAAATAACATATTTGTAAGTGGCTCTCTTCACTAAATAAGCTCTGAGTTATCATTAAAACCCAGGGTTAACTTGGGATCTGCTTTGCTCTAGTATAAGGTTCTTTATCAGTGCTCTTACAAGACCCCCATCAGTATTCAAATCTAAAACCTCCAGGTTCTGAATTGGTTGAGTTCGAAAATGTAGACCATTGGATTCGAAATCGGTTGTCTAAATGTTAAGGGTTGGTCTGAAGACATGTAGATCCTAGGTTCAATACTTGATCGAGTAATGGGCATGTACTGTCTAGGAGTGCCTTGGATGAACGAAACAGCTGTTCAGTACTCCTCAGTTTCCTATGCATCCCATGATGGAAATGACCCCTAATTCAAGTGTTGCGATGGTTAAAGCAGTTGACTTTCTGTCTCAGGTTCAAACACTGCTCCACCTATTTCGGTCTAAGCAACCGGGTAGTTTGGTTAACCCTCAAACTTTGAGTGTATCTCAAAGTCAATTATACAAATCTGTGCTCCAAAAATGAGTTAATGATAGTATATTTATACAAAATATGATTTTTAGCAAAAAGAAGGGAGATTTTCATTGTTGCTACAGATCTAATGGAGTCGAATGTGATGATATAAAATGTATTAATTAGTGTACTTAGTTATTTTGTCTATATGTAACACAGTCAAAATGTATCACTAATCACCAAAAAGCACGTGGACTTCCTCGCTTTATTCACCATTGTTCATCTTTATAATTGGACATGGTTGAATTAATGAGTGTTCATCTGTGTACTTGTGTGCATGTTAACATTTACAAAACTGGAATATTTATGAAATCAGTATATTTTTTCTCAGACTATCATGACTGTCTACCAGTACTTTGTCAACGTCACTTATCACATGATAAGTTTGTCCTTAAGTTTTTATGAAGATATTTGACATCTTATACGCTTAAGTATACGGGGTTGATTTGTTCACTTAAACAGAAAGATATGTTAAGCTTGAATAAAAATGTCTAGTTTGCTTAATAATTATACTCAGTTTTGCATGGACCACTTTCGTATTGTTATAACGAGTCGTTCCTTTAACTCTAATGTTTGTTTTTTTCTCTTTCATTTCCTACTTAGAATTCAAGTGCATTTGGTAATCTGAATAATTACTCATCTGCGGCTGCTGCCGCCGCTTATCACCACTTATCACGTTGTAATACTAGCAGTAATAATAATAATGCAGACGATCAACTTGAATTAATAGGACGTCATAATTATACGAATAATCCAACTTCTTCCTCGTCATCGTCATTAACTCATTCCTTTATCACATCATGTGCATCTCCATCTATTTCAGTACGATCTAGTCTTCAAGAATTTTATCAGAATCGGCATCACCATCATCATCATCATCAACAGCAGCAACAGTCAATTATTAGACCACCAGTTCAAGAATTAACAACACGTCGACTTTTATCTGAAGCAGCTGCAACAGCCTATGCACATGGTCTAGGTAATTGTTTTTTTATTCACACATTTACTTATAAATTAATAATAATAATAATAATAATCGAAATAGGGTTGTGGCGATCTGAAGTTACTTCAAGAAGACAGTGAAAGATGGTCTCCCAATATAATGAATTGATCGAAGTAAGACCTGTACACCGTAGGGCTACCCATTTAGTGGTCTGGAGGCTAGGCATCTACGCGTAGAACCGAATGCTTCGGGTTCAGTTCCCGGTTGCGGGGTCGTGGATATGCACTGCTGAGGAGTCCCATACCAGAACAGAATGGCCGTCCAATACTTTCAGATTTTCGATGGTTTTCTAATTAAGACTGGTTTGCGATATCAGTATTTAATATGAATTTACGCATTTTGAAACAGATGTTTTTCCAAACTTGTTAAATATTATTTTGGCATAACTCACCAAGTATAACAGCATAAACTATTTTGAAGTACACGAATACAGATCTTATGGAAACTAGTTTGTCTATCGATTATAGTGGAATAAAAGTTGATTTTTGGTTGACTCAACTATTGTTTTAGCTATGTGAACATGTTTCCGCTCCATCGCTCAATGATTCTTAACAATTGTTTTCTGATTCGAATCTTCAGGGTCAATACTTGGGTAAATACATTCATACCGGACGCATATGGAAAATATTTCTTTCAATACTATACCTAATTATCTTTTTAGATTAAGAAAGATTCTACGGTTAAACTGATCTAGTATAATAGTTCGCGAATATGGTGTATTAATGAGTTTTGAAAAGGTCGAAATTATGGTTAGATTTGATCTCAACTTACCCAGTTTCATAATCAACGACATTACACTATGTTTAGTGATTGGAGTTAGTCTACAGGTAACCTTACTTGATCTAGGTTTTATGCTATTTGGCATTCATAAGGAAGGAACAAACTGATCCTATCCGAATCTGTTCACACTAACTCCTCATTCGATAATAACCACTTTCATTATGTCTTAGCCCTTAGTATTTGTCCAACTAAATCATTCAAGGTATTTTTCATTAACAATTGATGCCGAAAAATGGGATTATCAGAAATCCTAAAATACTGAACAACTGTTGCACTTTCAATTTAGTCTTATCATCATCATGGTTCTTTTTTTCACCAATTGAATTAATAAATTCTAATGCCTCATATATCCAAAAACATTGGTGCAAAAAACTGGGCACTATACAGATGAAATGAGTAATAATCCTTTTACTCTTCCATAGCATATGTGATAATATATGCATATAGAGATAGTTATATAGTTTAGTAGTTCTATACAAGTTTGTCTTCACTTTTCATTATGAGAGCCACTTTATTATTATTCACTCTGGTGTAAACCTGGAGTAGTTCAAATTTACGACGTATTGGTTGATGTATAAACTGTATTAATCATCTGACACAATACAATCTTAGATACTTCTGATAATTCTTGTTTTCATCTATCACTTTGTACCATCTTGCTTCATAATATTATTGAATAAATAGGTTCGTAATTGACGAGCGTAAAACAGTATAAAATCTCATGCAATAATGCATAGATTCAGTTTGTCAATCATAAATAGGACGTTGTGTAAATCTTTTTTGGAAAAAATTGAATTGTTCACTGAAGGCGGTTATATGTGCTAGGTTTGTTATTCTTTGTTCTCATTTTGCTTATGCTTCAGTATGTAAGATTTTACCAAAATATGTCTGACTTATTTAGAAGGTAATAAGCAATGCTTACCAATTAAAGCAATCTGAGATAGTCTATATCAACTTTCACCTACCGTTAACATTAAAATCTCAATGAGTAGTCCTTCATATTTTCTAATCACTCAATAATAAATACTTTTGTTAAACAGGTAATGTTTTGTAGTATTTGTTGAATTTTCCAGCGTGCCTAATAAGTTGACTAAAGCAACTTTCAATATTTAACCTCCGCAATCATTTTACTGATAGTGAAGTAGTGTTTGATACTGTCTCTAGCTTATGTAATTAGTTGATCGGACGTTTAGCTAATGATTGATACTGATTCGGTTTGTAGCTTCTAACTACTTATTCAACATCAGTAGTATCTGTTTCTTGATTTTTTGAAGGCATTTAGTACTCATTCACTAACCATCGTTTTTTTATGGATAATCATAAAATCTTTCTGGTATGTTAGGTATCTTTAGTTGAATGGGTATATGCGTTTTGGAAAATTTAATGGGTCATTTGCATGAGCCGAGAAGTTCAACTCACCATAGATTTGCAGTTTTCGAAAGAAACTGACATTAATCGATTTGTTTTTATCTGGACAGGATATAATTCCCGTAGGGTAAATTCTTATGTGACCCGACCCAACATGCACAGCAGGGGATTTACAGCCTGACTTGAATTGTTATAATACTGATTACTCCTCAGCTGTTTTCATGGTAGTCCCACCACCTCAATTTTACTTGCCCTATTAATTTAGGTCAGAAATATCCTTTCTTTAACAGGATGAAGTTGTCTTTTCTATGCAGACAAACATACTTATATACTAACGTGTTATACATCACATTCCAGTTTGCTTTACCCACCCTCAGTTTTTCACTTCAAACCCACCCCGTTGACATAAGACAGGACTAGGTTGTGTATATGCGTATGGATGTGAGTTCTCTATATAGGCGCCACTCATTGCCCGTCTGTCATTCTATTTAACTAACTTGTCATTTTAGTCATGTGAGAGCAAAAATGTGTGGCAGCATAACATATAAACAAATACAAGGACTTTGTCATGGTCTTGTCCAAGTCATGAATGCTGTTTGTGTATTGTGTATTTCCATCTATTCACTTTAGGTGTTCGTATGTATGTTTGTGTGCTGATTCAGACATTTTCTAACCTTACTCATTTTATCCAACCATTCAGTTGCTACTGAGCTTGATATCGATTAAAGCTATACAAAATCGATACAACAAAAAACCTGAAAACTGTTGTATGTATTCATTCATGTGTATGTTAGCAGACAAACATTAATCTAAATAGCTTTGGAGTCTGATTAGACAAAGCAGACAACAATCTAAAGAACTGATTTTTTTCCTTGATTAGTTTTGATCTGTGAACCGGGTGGATGGTTGAATTAGATTAGTTTGTTACATTATTTATACAATTCATTTCCCATATATTTGGTTTGTACTATGGATGAAATAACATGGTTTATGTGTATAAGCTATATTACACGTCTGACTGTGGTTAGGTATTATTTTAAGATCACCGGAGTAAACCTGTAATCTCCTAAATAAACTCTCGATTGTATAACCATAAGCTATACACCATCAAAGAATAAGTGGAAGGATGAATGATATTTAAATTCTTCAAAGATAACACTTTATAATTAACATGTTCGGATTCTTAGGAGTTTATATCATTCCGCGCGTATATTTCTGGTACCTTAATCACATTAAGTATTGTTGTATAGGTTTGGTCACATTAATCTCTATTATCTTGTACAAATAGTTTATCATCAGAATGGGTTTTGTGGAGAGTTTTAAGAAATTTCATAGGTTGAAATCATGAGTCGATTGAAGCTAGACCAACATGGAAGACCTGGAAGCACTGGACGGCCGTTTCGTCCTAGTACGGGACTCCTCAGCAGTGCGCACCCACGATGCCGCACCACACGGGGGTCGAACCCAGGACCTACTAGCTTCGCGCGCGAGCACTTAACCACTAGAACACAGAGCCGGCATCCGACGGTGTTAATGTCTAACTTCAACCAATCCACGAAGTTGCGCCACCGTACACCATTGTCTTCAGTGAGTTGTTATCTCACAACAGATCCATTCTGATAATAATCAACTGCTCACTAGTGACTGACTTCAAGAAAAACTCCTGGAGTTCTAGTGAGAAGCCGTTACCACTGGAGATCAACCAGGTCTGTTGTGAGACAACAACTCACTGAAGACAATGGTGTACGGTGGCGCAACTTCGTGGATTGGTCTAGCTTCAATCGACTCATGATTTCAACCTATGAAATTTCTAAATAGTTTATCCTTGATTGATTTATCATAATAATTTAATGTTATTAGTTTCAGGTATAAATTAACCAGGAATAGAATAGTGGTTTTTCCCTAATAACGAATTTATCATCTTTTTACTGTCTTTTTTATGGACTAAAATGGGTTTTTCCAACCCCACTCTCAAGCTAATTGTTTTCACATTATAATGAAATTATCTTGAGAACCACTGAAAGCGATGGAACACTGTCCTAGTCCAGGATTCCTTAGGAGTACACACCTACAACCCTATCCGAGATAAAAACTAGGATACTTGTATTTTGCAGTGTTAACGACATGTTTAATCCGGCGAATCCGAAGTTCAATGGTTCATATTGAAAACACTAGTCAATTCATGATATATAACTCGAAGACCGTCCTATGTCGTCATTGGTTAAACCAGCTCAATATTAACATGGAGCTAAAACTTCATTATCTTTTATTTTTCTATTTTTCTCTTATTTTTGATCGAAGTAATTTACTGGTTTACTTTATTGGGGATTTATTTCCTAAAAACCGGATAAAATAATTCTTTTAAGAGAAATATACTAGGGGAGTTGAAATTTATAAATTATAATTAGATTAGTATACATTTAAGTATTCATGTTTGTATTAATGAATTTTATAAAATGTTTTTTTTATTTGTCATAATAGATATAAATAACATTAGTGGCAATAGTAATGTCCACTGGTAACATGTTTACTTACTCTACATTCATCAGTATGGTAGTCACAGTTGGGTGTCTAAAATTATTATTATTATTATTATTAAACAATCGATCGACATGTCATATATTGATGATTATGTTTCATCTGTTTTCTTATTTGTTTTGTTGCTTAATTTTGATCTATTACACACAAAAACCATTTACGATAGAATAAATAACGATGACAACTAGTAAACTTATCTTTCATTATTAATCAAATTGATTGATTGAACATGTGCAATGCTAATATTCAATATGTAGGTGTTGTGTATTAAACAAACAACCAATTGATGA